AGTTTTGGACAAAAATCCGTAAAAATTCGGATGAAACGTACGACGTAAGACTAATCGCGTCCGAAATGACTCAGAATCTTGATCCACAGTGCGGCGGCGTCGCGTCGGGCATCCAAAGTGAACGACCGCCTCAGCCACCACAATCGCCAAGTGCGAGTGAGGATTAAGCGGCGAGTTGTTGACCCCTCCGCCCGCCCCCTCCCCCCTCCCCCTCCCCCGCCCCCCGTTCCCTACGACCCTGCCCCACATCTCAATTTTCAGCTATTGTCAAGATCAAGAGCAGTTTTGTTTATTTCCCCCGCTTTTAAATAAGTCCGGAGCGGCCACAGGAATAATGTCGCACTGGAAAAAAAACACATTGGATCCAGAGTCCGGACTCTTAAAAACATCGACAAGAAAAAATACTCTTGATTCAATCGGACTTTTGCTTAAATCGAGGACCAAGACTCTAAATTTAAGCGGATTTCGTTTTGATTCAAGCAAAAATCCGATTGAATCAAGAGTATTTTTTCTTGTCAATGTTTTCAAGAGTCTGGACCCTAGATCTAATGTGTTTTTTTTTCCAGTGTGTCATACGGAGCTTTTCTTTAGCACGTCAGCAAGAAGCATCTGTTTTTCAATCGGAGGCAAGCCGCGGTTGACTCGAGCCCTTTTGAGAAGTCGGACAAGGAATTTACCACTAAAACCGCAAATTTTCAAGATGATTTTGTCATACTGTAAATTGTATGGGGTGTTTCTTGAAAGAAATCCTACGAAAAAACCGATGACACCACTTCGAAAACCTCTACGTTCCATACTTACAAAGGTATGAGCTTTGAAAGTTTCCAATTTTTTTCCAACTTCTCCAATTGATTCGCCCCACTGTAAGACGTGAGTGCCCCGATGCGATTTCGAGAGAAACGTAAAAGACTACGCCATTTAACCATACTCGGTCGGTAAAACCCGTAAATTCGAAAACTCTTTGAGGCCTTAAAATGTGATATTCTCTAACGTCGTTTTTCTGTAAGGTGCGTCCTCGTTTAGGCAATGAGAATCAATTAAAAAAAAAAAAAAAAAAAAAAAAAAAAAAAACTGGAAACTAACTTCTCCAGGGAAAATCAGCTCATGTGTATCAAAACCGTATTAAGAGGAAGAAGATGGGTTGTTCGGACGGTCCGTCGTGTGTCAGAAGGAAATTTGATACGTGAAGTTTCGACTCAAAATTTACACGCTGAATGTGGCTTGAATGTGTACGTCACATTCCTGAATGAGTGAATGGTCTGATGCCTGAATTTTGCGGAAAATTCAGGGCACCAATGAGACTGGAGCTCAGCAGTTACCAGTTCGTCTGAAATATTCGATATTATAATAATTTAGATGAAAATAATTCGAATCACCTAACGAAATTTCATCTGTTGAGCGATGACTGTCGATTCCTATATTCAGCTGCCAAATTCAGCGGGTAATGCCGGCTTAAATGAGGAGCACATGTTTTAGACGTTACGCCTGTGGATGCAAAACGCATCGAGGCGGGGGTCTTTATCAAATTCTTATTTCGACCGGTAATGGACACTGACCAGGCAAAGGCCGTCTACCAAGGTCAGACCGGACCGCCGCACAGTGGATCGAATCAATTGGAGGCGAGTCGGACACAGTCTGAAAACTTCGAAAGCTTATATGTTCCAAACATTTTACAACATCATTGTTAATGTAATTTGTATGGCTGAAAATTTTGACTAAATGTTCTTGAAAGTTTGAAAAGCGTACGGTAGTAAAAACTGAAAACTGACATTTCTTTTAACCAAAATTTGTGTTTTCACTGAACACGTAGAAAAAAACTTCGGTTCACACGGAACACCAAAAATCGAAGTTTTCTGCCATCGGAGTTTAGAAACCAAACTTCGGTTCGGTGAACCAAAATTGTCAACCATACTTACTGAGACTCAAATTCATCACCAAGAACTTTGGTCATCTGAACTTGAGTTCAGTTTCTACTACCTAAAACTTCAGCGCGCAAGAGATATCTTTCGTGCATTGTCAAAGGTCGAGGGCACTAAGGTTTTCTTAAAAGAAGGCTTGAATGCAACTATTCGAACTCGAGGGATGCGCGTATTGCATGCAGAGGAATTGAAGGCGTTTTCGTTTCGTTTTGCTGTTTGAAAAGTAAATATGAAACAAAAAAGTTTAAGAGGGGCTCCATTGGTTTTTTCGTGAAATTTACTTTCAGAAACACTCCGTGAAATTGAATTTGCGATGAAATAAACATTAAAATTCCTATTTTTTGTTAAACATTTCATGTCCGACCTCTTTGATCGACTCGATCCACTGTGTGCCGTTCGAAGTCTGCACAGGGCATTGGACTCGCTCTTCAAAGGCGGTCATTTCTTTTAAAATGAATAATTGACCAAAGGGGCCATCGTTGGGGTTGCTCGAGGCATCAATTGGACCGCGATTAGCAGAAAGATACCAAGCCACATCAGCTATTGCCAAATTTAACTGGACAATTTAATTTTTTACAAGGGGACGTTTGTGCGGATTTCTTTGACAATTTTAAGGAAGTTGCTTCGCACCACGCTGAAAATTCATTGACATTTGCACAAAAATCCGCACAGCCGTTTTCATGTGAAAAATTAAATTGTCCAATTAAATTTGGCAATAGCTGATGTGGCTTGGTTCCTCCGGTCCAATTTTTCCATTTCTTTATCATTTAAGAGGGAAGGAGCTTTGAACTCTTTCGCTGAGCTCTGTGTATTCTTTAATTTTGACGGGCAAAAGATTTATTCTGGGGTCTGACATGAAATCCCCTTTACTTTTAAATGTATGCAAAGCGAATGCATATTTGAAGCAAAAAACTCCGACTCGTAGTGTGCTTCGTTGAAAATTTATTTTTTCAAAGTTTGATTTCGGAAAGTTGTTGTGGCCACCTGATTGGGTCCGTTTAAGAATCGCAAATGTGGTTTTGAGACTCTTTACTTTTTAATAAATTTAGGAATACCACTTATCTCAACTTCAGATTTTAAAGAAACCACGAGAGGAAAATTCTTACTCCTCAATCTATAATTCTGATACTGTGATGTCATCTTATCACTGTCACGGAAAAAGCCTGCTGTCTAATATTATTTCTTAAAAATCGATATAATCAATAAGTGCTGTGCCTATTCTGGAAGCAATTCTTTAAAATAACTGTAAAACTAAACCTACTTTGATAAGATACGTCATTGAATGCCGACTGCATTTTCTTCCTCTAATGGACAGAAAACGCTGAAGAATTCGAGCAAAGCGAGTTTAAAGTTTACCTGCGCTTTTGCCATCTTTAGAAACGACTCATTTCAAACATTTTATAACATCATTGTTAATGTAATTTGTATGACTGGAAATTTTGACCCAATGTTCTCGCAAAGTTTGAAAAGCGTACAGTACTAAGGTGGAAACCGACATTTCTTTCACCCAAAATTTGTTTTTTCTCTGTATACGTAGAAAAAAAAACTTCGGCTCACAAGGAACACCAAAAATCGAAGTTTTCTGTCAACGGAGTTTAAAAACCCAACTTCGGTTCGGTTAACCAAAATTGTCAGCCATACTTACTAAGACTCATATTCATCACCAAGAACTTCGGTCATCTGAACTTAAGTTCAGTTTCTACGACCTAAAACTTCAGTGATATCTTTCCTGCCTTGTCAAAAGTCGAGGGCACTAAGGTTTTCTTAACAGAACGCCTGAATGCAACTATTCGAACTCGAGGGATGCGCGTGTTGCATGCAGAGGAATTGAAGGCGTTTTCGTTTTGTTGTTTTTTGTGGCAACGCCAAGGCTTAACTTGGATGTAAACCGGAGTTTAGTCCTTCTAACCGAATTTTTTCCATGTGACGAACTTTTTTTTTTTGAGTTACCACTCAAAGGCATATTTTGCCCGCATCCATTACAAGTATTGATCGGTTTTAAGAGGGGAAGGGAGAGCTTTTTGAAACATGCACGGTCGAAACTAAAGGGGCTGCTCAACCAGAAATCTGCCTGGTCCCACCATAAATTTCACGAAGAGAAACTGCGTGGTATATCTTTGCTTATCGAAATAGTGTTTCTGACAACTTTTCGAGAAGAACAGCTCAAAATATGCCCATGAGGATTCTCACTTTTTCAAAATGTTCCCAAATATAAGACCCTAGAATCGACTGTTTTACATACCCTGAACCACTAGACAAGTTGTGAATTCAAAGATTCAAATACATGCTTCTTGCCCAAAATGTCATAAAGATTATGATTCACGCAACGAAAATTACTGAAATTGACTCCTAACCAAGATAGTTCATGTTTCTTGACGCGTGGATTCAAACCTCCCGCTCATGAAAACGCAATGGTCTACGCGAGTCAAATCGCACACTAAATGTTACCGTGGCAGTCTTAGAGAAACGAAAGCATGACAACCTCAACCTTGACGCTTTGGCTCAGCTACAGCAAATTGTTCACACTTCGAACGATAAAGGTTGGGAGATGGACAATGTCTGATTGAGAGGCCCGCCAAGCCCGCAGTAGTGCGTGAATTTAACTCACGTAGAGTATTGCGTTTCTTTGGACCGGGCAATTCAAATTTCCCGTAACTAATGTAAAATTAAAACGTTAATATCTTACTCAGGAGTTAATTTCAGTAATTTTTGATGCAAGAATCGTGTTCTACGTAAAATTCCTGTTAAGAAACATGCATCAGATCAGTGGCGTGGCGTGCTTTGCGATATATCGATTGATCTGCCATTTAAACCTACGGAAAGAGATCGATATTCAGGGTGTGTGCAGCGAACACCTTAGTAATCGATTCTTCACCATACCCTCAAATGGGGAAATATCGATAATCGATCGTTCACGCCACGCCACTGCATCAGATTGCTTAAATTCGTACCTTGTCTAGTGGTCCATGAAATTGAGAATAAGAAGCATTGTTGCGGACTTTCAAGGATCGCCACAATTTCCACCCATGGAATCCCATGGATACAAGAACAGTAGCTAATTGTCATGTCTCTCTGTTTCAGCGGCGCCTAGATTTCTGAACGAGACAACCCGCAACACACGGGCGTCGAGCACGGCTGCACCGCGGCCATCGCAGGGCCAGCGGCAACGACGACAGTTCGAGAACTGGATCGCCGGCGGGAGCGGGGAAGTCGGGCCGTGCTTCACCGACCGGGGGCTCTTCGGCAAGTGCATGTCCTTCAAGAAGTGCTACCCCTTCTTCAAACTCCCGCAGCTGAGCAGCCAGCAGACCTGGGTCTTCGGCATGTTCGACACCTGCACCTACTTCACATCCTCCGGTAAACAGGTCAGAATTCCACCTTCTAATCTAATACCACCGGGTTACTGCCAAGTGTAGAATGAAGCTGTCGTAATTTAAACCTATGGAAAAGGATCGACGAACAGGGTGTTTGGAAAGAGCAACTCGAAAACCATAGCTTCAAATGGGGAATTATCGATAATGGAGATGTTGCATGTGTGAGGAATTTGCGATTTGACTGTTGAATCTTATGTAAAAGTTCGCGAGAAACACGATGGTGCTACTGGTTTTCTCTGAAATCATCTCCCAAGCTCAAAAAAAGCTCTCAAAGTGAGGCCAAAATGGAGGGGATATCCCGCCCTACCCTGAGAGTCCACCTCTACATCAAGACAAACTCTCCATGCAAAGATAGGGAGCAAATACATTAGCAGTGATGCCGTGATTTCAGTCTTGGAGTCCTCAAATAAAGTGGCAGCCCTGCCAATGTATTTGCTCCCTATCTTTGCATGGAGAGTTTGTCTTGATATAGACGTGGACTCTCAGGATAGCGTGGGATATCCCCTCCATTTTGGCCTCAACTTGAGATCTTTTTTTGAGCTTGGGAGATGATTGCAGAGAAAGCCAGTAGCACCATCGTGTTTCTTGCGAACTTTTACACCAGAATGAATGGTCAAATCGCAAATCCCTCACACATGCAACATCTCCATTGCATGCTGAGATGAATCTTGACGCACATTAAAGCATGTGCTAACCATGGCTCATAAAGAAATGCACTTACTGCTCTCTTCGCTATCAAGGCAGAGAGGGCTGTCGCACGATCCAGAAATCTGATAGCGAAAAGAGCAGTAAGTGCGAAAATGAGGTTTTGAGGAAACGAGCTCAAAAGTGTCGGACCGGGAAACTTTATTGAAAGACGTCTCCGTTCTTCGTTAAATTACCACTAATCCGTGGTGGACTCCTAGAAACCGTTCGGATGATTAAAAATCAACCGATATTATTTCAATTGCATAAAAAGGATATTTTTCATTATCATGCTGGGTTATTGTTAGACAAGACAGCCGTAAGTGCTATCTTCTACATGCTTTCGTGGTTGTGTTTTGAACATACAACAAACACATTTTCAGGTCAGAAATTGGCAGAAGAGGGCGGCACTTTACTTGAAAGCACTTTTTTTCATTGACTCTCCGGAGGAAAAATGTCACTTGCTGCTGTCTTGCCTGAAACTACGTCATTTTCTGCGTACTTGCGGCTTTCTCATATGTCTCGTTTTTATACAATTAAGATGAATTTTGCTGTTTCAGCGATTTCATCTAAATGAGATTAAACGAAATTTGAATAAGGGAACTCGATTTCGACAAGTTGACATTTACTGCTCTCTTCGCTGTCACGGCAAAAATCCTTGGATCGTGAACTTGAAAGCACAGGGTGTCCGAGACCAGCCGTACCAGGCTTATTTTATGGTTGTTTCAGGTCGCACGAAGTCAAGGGCCGCGGGGCTGATAGGGAATCGACCCAAAGGAATCCGAATTTCATGGTACCGAGACCCCTTCAGCCTCCCTTGGGTCCCCCACGGAGCATAACCAGAGAAGCCCGCTCATAGTGGTCATGAAGTAAATAAAAAATGCGACAAAAATGTACCCAAAGTTGTATGCAAAAGTAGTTAATGTTTTAGTTTAAGTTAAAACGTTTTTCGAGAAACCCCTATAAGAAGACCATAAACATTTAATACAACTCTCTATTGACAAAAATATCAATTGAAGAGCTAAAATGCTTTTCAACGTGTATTATACGATTGTTTTCAATTCGCCTTCAACTGCGTCCGCAGCAATTGTTGTTACGAATATGTTGTGCGTGCTGATCTGAGTTCATTACATACTTGACTCTCCGAAGGCGTTTAATGTGCGAAAGTAGAGCACTCTGTTGGAGAACAACGGAAAATCGCTCAATCCATACTTCGTTCGTTCTCCGACAGACTGCGCTACTTGCGCAAATAAAACGCCTTCGGAGAGTAGAGTATGTAATAAGCTAAAATCAGCACTCACAACATATTCGAAACAACAATTGCTGCAGACGCAGCTGAAGGCGAATTGCCTTCGCACGTAAAATCACTTTAGAGAGTCAAGTATGTAATGAGCTGAAATCAGCATGCGAAAAATATTCATAACAACAATTGCTGCAGATGCAGCAGATGGCAAATTGCTCTGTTAAAAAAGGGTATGATAGGAAGTTTGCATGTAACGGGAGGGTATGTATTTGTTCGACATGAATCGAACGAAAAATAAAAACATGAACCAGCCAACACGGATTCAATAGACAAATCAGTAAAAAAACCGGATCAAAATCAGTAGAGAACTTACATGTACGATGAAAATTTCAAATTGCGGTGTCTCGAAATTAGCATCAGCCAAGATTTTGATTTTTTGCGATTTTAAGTCCACACGTACCAGAGACTTACCCCTGCCAACCGTTTTGGGCACACTTTAGTCACATTTTTTTTTTTGCATCAAGACTACTGTGCGCTCTTAGTGGAGACTTGGTGGGTGTAAGGGTAAAATCGAGGTCATTTTCGGACGCCTTTCATACCATTACTACCATTCAGTGGCAAAGAGATGATCAAAAACCAGAATGCTTGTTTAGAAAATAGATGACAATTTAAATACAGTAGAGTGTTGATTATCCGCGGTGATTGGGATCGGAGCTATCGCGGATAGTCCGACATTACTTAAGCTATTCAGCCAGGAAAACAGGTAATCGAAAAGACTGCATTTTAAAAGACTGTTTGGACAGCGTTTAGCAGAAAGGAACCAAGCCACATTGGTTATTGCAAAATTTAATCAGGCAATTTCATTTCTCACGAGAGAGCGTTTGTGTGGACTCCTTTGAAAATTGCAAAAAAATTGCATTGTATTATGCAGAAAATTCATTGAAATTTGCACAAAAATCCGCACAAGCGTTCATAAGTAAAATAATTAAATTGTTCGATCAAATTTGGCAACAGCTGATGTGGCTTGGTTCCTTTCTGCTTACGCGGTCTATTTGCCGTGGTAAAAATTGGCGATAGGAGCTGCGTTTCAAAATACCATAGGAGTTCTTACAGCCGACTGAAGAGGAAGATAGAAAATCATATAGCTGGCTGTAGAAAGTGGAAAAAATCATACGGCCGGGCTACACGAAGCGATAAAAAATTATACAGCCGGGCTATAGTTCCTATCGCCGGGCTTTGCACTTTATCGCCTGGCTGTTGCTTTTTCGCCATCGGCTATGAAAGGCTATGAGAAATTGTGTAGAAATTCTTGTGCTTTGTAAATCCTTAAGTTTGTACGGAATCACTTTCATATTTACAAAACGCACATTATATTTTCCTTTACTACATATTTGTTTTCATCAATTAAAATGAGAATAATCCATACAGAGTGTGCAAACATTTCAAAGTCATGAGTTGAAAAGCGCTGACTCCGCGAGATTAAATATTAGAGCCAAACACAAAGCGGAGCGGCGGCAGCGCACTGGCGCCTACAAACCTAACAGGGATATTTCACGCATTGCGCAATGCGTGAAGTAGCCCTGTTAGGTTTGTAGGCGCCAATGCGCGTTCAGCGCTGGCTGCCCGCCCGCCGCGCCGCGCCGCCGCAGCGTACCGCGGCGCTTGAAGCAACTATTTCACACCAGAGGTATTGCACAGTATCATACGAAATTGAAGGCGCTCTAACATATTAGGAATGGCAGGCATTCTTCAAAAGTACGGAGCTTTCCTCGCAAATGAAATCAAGATACTGCGGCCCAAAAAGAGAGCGGTAGTCCAAAAACTCACTAAGTCCTAGCATCCGTAATTGGTAACATTTAGTATACACTTTATCGCATGGCTGTTGCCTAATCGTCATCGGCTATAAAAGGCTATAAGAAATTGTGTTGCAGCTATAGAAGCTATTAGAAATCTTACAGCCGGCTGTAGGTCTATGGTATTTAGAAACACAGATTTTACTGCCAATTTTTACCAGGGTGAACGCTAGTTAAATGAGGGACTTGGAGGACGAGGCGCATAAGGGCAGTTTTTGGAAAAAATTAAGATATTAATGATTTCAAGTAAAACTAATGCATATTCTGCAGAAAATTCGCTCCCGAATTTCAATTTTTAAGCATCACAAAGTCAGTTCGAACTACCACAAGGATCCATATAATATCAAAACTTGAAAATCGTATTTCTCGAAATACCAAAAACTGCACTTATGCGCCTTGTTCTCCAAAGCCCTTAAGTATTATACAAAAATGTACTAATTAGCTAAAAATTAATCCACGTTGTCTGATTCCAGGCCTACGGTGTATGCTGTCCTGAGGTAGCCCTGAACCCGATCTTCCAGATCGCAGCCGACGACGAAGACGACGAAAAACCCCTGCGATTTTTCAACAAACCGCTGCGTCAGTTCCAGTCACCGGCCATTCCAAACGACTGGCCGCCACCCATCCCAACCC